GAAGGTGTTTTGATATTTGTCCTTCTGGGGGAAAAAAAGGTTTATTGGTGTCAGCAATTCTTCACACGAGTGGCTCTCAGTTTGTGTTTTCAGGGCTTACAGTGCTGCTACTATTTCCCAGCCAGTCAGTTAATTGCATCCACGTGGCATCGCAGGTGTAACTCGGTCCCTGATTAGACGGATAGAATGAGAACCAGCAGGCTCGGAGTCCCGTCAGCGAGGGCTGAGAAGCACAGCACAATATGAACGAGTAACTTCACGGCCCGCGAAGCTAATAAATAAACTCACGCTGAGGCTACAGTCCAAAGAATAATAAGCTACCCTGTGACAAAAAATAAACAGGTAATGTGGTTCAGTTTGTGTTTCACTTATGAAAAAGGAGACCATACAGCGACTTCCAACCTGGATAACAAGGAGGTGACTGTAACTTAAAACAAAGTAAGAATATAATGAGCTCTTTTTGCAGCAAGGTAAATGCTGAATAAATACTAGTATCTATGAGTGGCCAGTATGCTCCAAATCATTCCCTACTCGAATCAAGTCACTGCACATGCTTGTAAGTGTAAATTGCTGGCAGGGTGATAATGCTGGCTGTGGCTGCTTTTGACATATGTGATACCCAAGTGTTTTTCTCACCCGCATATCCATGAACGTGTGGACTCAGCAGTGTTAGCCTGAGGACATCTGCAGCGCTTCCAGGAAACCGTACCATAAACTCATACAAATCAAGTTTCTTCTTTTTCCCCCTATGCTCATGCATCCTATTTTGGTTGCTGTGAACATGTTAGGATAATCTGATAAGCACATAATCGTTCTGCGAGGGACAGTTTCAAAGTTACGTATGAACACACAGGGGACAGCTCTCATTTTAGCTAATCCTTGCCAGGAGGCATTGTGCCAACTGGGTACGCACTGAGACTGTACATGAAGCAAGCTGGTTTTTAAGAGAGCGAGGAAGAGAAGCTAAATCCCACAGATGTCTTTCCTTCTCGAGGATTCTCTAGTCTTCGCCGTTTTCACCATCCCCCATTGCCTCATTAATTGTAAATACCACTTAATTTCACCCTTTAAACACAGCACACTTCCCTGTATATGTCTCACTAAGATCTCCCAAAGTGACTATCTCTACTCTCTATCAAGTCTTCTTAGGAAAAAAAAGGAGTTTAATGTGACAGTGTGAAACTGTCTCAGGTGCACAGCTTGTCTAAGAGCTGATAGATCGAATGATGAACCTGAATAAAGCTCGTTCAGATGGAAAACCTCCGACAGATAAATCGTCTCCATTAAGTCACCCGTTCATCATGTGCTGATTAGCTGCAGGCTGTACATAAGGCTTATATCACACACTAGGTCTTGTTAGTACTCGTCTGTGTCGACTAACATGCCCCGGGCCATATGAAGCCAGGACTCCTGAGTAGTGAAAAGCTTCCTTTCTAAAGAAAAACAAATCTGCCTGAAGGAGACAGACTGCAGCTCTGACAGGGAGAACTGGACCAAAACTACAGTTATCAGTGTTTTACTGGTGCTGAAGTGAACTGGTGAGCCCGACTGTGACATCAGGATTTGCTGGAATAACTGATTTTGTTTACCCACAGTGGAAACTTGTTACAGCACTTGTTTTAGGCTGATTTGGTGAACTTGTTAGCAAGACACAGAGCAGTTACCGAGCAAAGTAATCACCTA